GAAAGAGTACAGCTATAATTTTGTGGATTGAAGAAGCACAGACGCAGTCTTCTAAAGCTTGGAGTTGTGGTCTACTGCAGTTATCCTTCTGAATAATACACCCAACAGTGTGAGAAGCTGAAATATCCGAATCTATAAATTTATGGATTGAAAAGTAAACAAAAAAAGCTTCTAGAATTAACAAGAGAGATGGCACTAGACTTACAGTCCTGCAATGACAACATTGAGCATCGTTGTGAATGCTTCTCCTCCATTCGCTATGCCCTTATGAACAACAATGCTAGTGAACCAAGTGAGCAACGCCCACGAGAAGAACAGAACACAATGCAATGATCCAAGCCCGAGTCCCTTCGCCAAACCCCCTTCCTGCCATACTTGTATGTATTCACTAATGCGTTCTTATAACTCTTTAATGCCTTCTCTTCCCCCACAAACGCTTGCACTGTCCTAACATTCCCAATTGCGTTCTTATAACTCTTTAATGCCTTCTCTTCCCCCACAAACGCTTGCACTGTCCTAACATTCCCAATAACCTGCCAACACAAAACAATGTGCAAATAAACCAATTAGCTAAAATTCACTCAATTATGATACAAACTAAGAAAAACAATTCTATAGAGGGCCCCTTATAGAAAACTACATAAAGAGATGAGGAATGCCTTTGCCTAACACGACTTTTGATGCACACATCACTACCAGCTAGCTATCAGTGAAGTCAGGCTACCTGCCTGCCAATATTGTATTGATGAGCTGTCTGATTGTGCAAATAGACGATAATGACTTGTGAATCAAGTTTCGTGCTAGGCCAGGTGCACAGAATTTTATGTACACTTCACTATCAGCAATCAATGTAGTCAGACTGCCAATCAGTACAGATTGTACTCATAGCAATTGCGCATATAGAAAATTTGACTGCAATGACAGCTGGCAGCTGATAATGATATGTGCATCAAGATTCATGTTAGTATTGTGACAGACGGCGGCGCCGAGGAACCAAAACAAACACCGATCAAAGAAGGCCAAAAACAACCAAATATCAATGCATAAACACAAACATCAATTTTAACGTGGTTCGGCAATTGCCTACGTCCACGGGGCAAGAAGGGGGTGGGTTTCCACTAATAGAGAAGGAGAGTACAAATTGAGATTACAAATCGCTCCAACGAACCAACTAATCTCACCAACAAATCTCTCAACCTCTTAACCAATAACCCTAACCAATAGCTCAGAAAGATCTCTCTTTTCTGTGCTCCAAAATCCCCAAAGATGCTCTTCCAAAACCCTCAAATCATATTGGTATTTATACCAAAACAGAAACCCAAACAGACTGCAAATAGGAACCTGAACTTTCCAAAAAACCCGTCGTAAGTTGACTTATCAGTCTGCATAAGTCGACTTGGCAGAGCGAAAAACGACAACTGGAGAAGAGTTCATAAGTCGACTTAACAGACCTGATAAGTCGACTTGCCAGAGCCCAAAATCAACAATCCACAGTAGATCGTAAGTCGACTTACGACACAACATAAGTCGACTTACCATAAGTCGACTTATGCCTATGCATGAGTCGACTTATGACCGAAAATCTGTTTTTTTTAAGTTCTTCTCCACAATTCTCCACCTCGGCGAAGTTTTCCCAAAACTGAGCTGACACCAACCAAACAAATGTCTCACGTGTTGAGACCCAAATGGGAGTGCGAACACTCACCCAAAATGTTGATGTCGCTCACCAAATCGGCTGCATCAGAAAACTGACTGCCTACGTATCCTCTTGCCCAAGGAATCAAGCCCTTCTGACGCCCTTCATCATAATCATGGACCCAAATGTAACCTTCAAGCGTGCATCCGCCAAGGTCACTCCATAGCCTGCTGCCTCCAAAGCTCCAAGTGAAATGATGTTCTTCTTCAACTGAGGAACGAACCTCACTCCAACCAACTCCCGAATCACCCCGTCACTCATCCTGATCCGAATGGTACCGATACCACCAATAGAGCATTTGTGATCATTCCCTATGAGTACGAAATCCCCTCTTTCCAACTCCTGAAAGCTGGAGAACCAATCCCTCATAGGGCAAATGTGGTATGTAGCTCCCGAATCCAATATCCACTCTATAGAGTAGGCAACACAAACTGATGGCAGTGCAGATAATGAGTAGCCCGAAGAATCCGAATCTGAATCATTGCCACTAGCCTTGACAACATTCGCCTCTGAAGCTTGAATAGTTTTTTCCTTATTCTTCCCGGCTCGATCAACTAACTTTGGGCATTCGGCTTTTCAATATCCATCCTCTTTGCAAAAGGCACACTGATTCTTACGAACTCCAAGATGTGCCCCTCTAGACTGCGACCTCCCACTACGGTTTGGACCCTTTGCTCTTGCGACCAACGCCCCCGCTACCGGCTCAATCGAAGTCTCCTTATCCTTCTTTCGAAGCTGATAATTCACAAGTGCAGCGGTGACCTCACTATACGAAAGAGATGCCTTCCCATTAATAAGAGTAAGAACGAATGTCTCATATTCCTCGTCGGGCAAAGAACTCAACAACAACAACGCCTTGTCCTCATCTTCAATCACCACATCTATATTCGCTAAATCCGCAAGAAGCTTCGTGTAGTGGTTCATGTGATCACCAATGGAGGTTCCTTTCTTCAACTGGAAGCGGTAAAGCCTCCTCTTCAAATGCGAGTGATTCTCCACACTCTTGGTCAAATACTTGCTCTCAAGGATCTCCCAAATCTTCTTTGCAGAAATCTCATTAATCACATCATACTTTAGATCTTGAGTGAGACAAGACCTAATCATACCACACGCCGTTCGATTCATCTTTTTCCAAACCTTCTCATCAATGTTGTCCGGTTTCCCATCCAACTCCAACGTATCTTCCAAATTTTGCGCGTTGAGCGCATCCATGACTTCGCATCGCCAAAGTCCAAAATTGTTTGTGACATTGAACTTCTCCATGTCAATCTTCATCGAGTGGATATTCAAGCTTTGGACGGTCTTCACGCCGGAAGTACTGCCCACAACTCCTTCTTTCTCGGCCATAATCCTCAAAACACCACCAAACCAATTCGGAAACAAACGAGAAATAGATCCAAACTGAAAAAGACGAGATTTTTACCAAAAAGATCCCACATTTATCACCAAACGAAGCCCTAGACGAACTTCCAAAGCGATCTACTCCTCCAAATAGCCCAAGCGTAGCCCGGGCTCTGATACCACTTGTTGTGACAGACGGGGACGCCGAGGAACCAAAACAAACACCGATCAAAGAAGGCCAAAAACAACCAAATATCAATGCACAAACACAAACACCAATTTTAACGTGGTTCGGTAATTGCCTACGTCCACGGGGCAAGTAGGGGGTGGGTTTCCACTAATAGAGAAGAAGAGTACAAATTAAGATTACAAATCGCTCAAACGAACCAACTAATCTCACCAACAAATCTCTCAACCTCTCAACCAATAACCCTAACCAATAGCTCAGAAAGATCTCTCTTTTCTGTGCTCCAAAATCCCCAAAGATGCTCTTCCAAAACCCTCAAACCATATTGGTATTTATACCAAAACAGAAACCCAAACAGACTGCAAATAGGAACCTGAACTTTCCAAAAAACCCGTCGTAAGTCGACTTATCAGTCTGCATAAGTCGACTTGGCAGAGCGAAAAACGACAACTGGAGAAGAGTTCATAAGTCGACTTAACAGACCTGATAAGTCGACTTGCCAGAGCCCAAAATCAACAATCCACAGCAGATCGTAAGTCGACTTACGACACAACATAAGTCGACTTACCATAAGTCAACTTATGCCTGTGCATGAGTCGACTTATGACCGAAAATCTGCTTTTTCCAAGTTCTTCTCCACAGTTAGACCATATGTGTTCATCCTTTTCTCCTTATATCGTTTTCGGATCTCTATAGGGCTTTGTTCCCCTACAACATGGTGCTAGCAATGTTGACTTGTTAGATCTGAATCAAAACTTGAGATCTAAAACCATATCGCCATGATTAATTCGAAGAGATTAACAATAATCAAAAGAGCGGAAGCTTATACCTGAATCCATAGAAGAAAACTTGATTTGAGTTTTTGATGATCTTCTAACCTTAGGGTTCCTCTAAATCCAAATTTCTCTTTCTAGATGGGGGTGAAGAGAATTAGAGAATGTAACCCTAGGTTAGGGACCATAACCCCTTATTTATAGATGTTGTACTTTTGCAATTTGGCCCCTTAATAAATCACAATTACAACCTGGTATCTGCACATATAACCCCATGATTATATTTAAATACCCATTAACCCAACTTAATTGATCACTTTAGTGGGTTATCCTGAAAGATAGCAATACACATTGATTAATCATATGTGCCCACAATTAGATTTATTAGATTAAATCCAACAATCTCCCACTTGGGCACCATATGATTCCTTAAATTGTGTATAACCTTATGAGCTCAAAAATTGCTATCACTGAAAAGGTATTTCCGAACAATCTCGTCAATTGACTATATCAATATAGGATCAAAGCGGCCTTCATCACATTTATCGTGACTCGACCCATCAATGGTCACATATACCAATACAATCAAACGACATAGATCAATCATGGATATGCAGCATAAAAATTACATGCAATGTGATCAGTACATGTCTATTTTCAACTGGTCCTCCTTAGTGAGGTCAAAACCAAACATAATGTAACAGAGTGTCTTAACTGAATACTTTATTCTGATCAGACAATACAACCAAATATAAAGCACCACAATTACAAACTCCCACTAAAACATAATATCCTCAAATAATACCACACCCATATGAGCAGTATGCTCATGAAAGACCTTGGGTGGTAATCCCTTAGTAAGAGGATCAGCTATCATGGAGTTTGTCCCAATGTGCTCTATAGATATCTGTCCACTCTGTACCCTTTTTTCACAACTAGGAACTTAATGTCAATATATTTTGACTTAGTTGAGCTCCTGTTGTTATTAGAATACATTACTGCAGATTTATTGTCACAATATAACCTTAGTGGTCTTTCAACATTTTCCAAAATGCGTAGTCCCGTGACAAAATTTTGTAACCATATTCCCTGATTGGATGCCTCATAGCAAGCTACAAATTCTGCTGCCATAGTGGAGGAAGCTACCAGTGTCTGTTTGACACTTTTCCATGATATAGCTCCTCCTGCTAACATATAAATGTAGCCTGATGTAGACTTCCTGCTATCTTGGCATCCAGCAAAATCAGAGTCCGAATACCCAATGACCTCTAATTTCTCTGATTTTCTGTATGTGAGCATGTAATCTTTTGTTTTCTGAAGATACCTCATAACCCTTTTGACTGCTATCCAATGATTCATACCAGGGTTGCTTAAGTATCTGCCTAACATCCCAACAATGTACGCAATATCCGGACGCGTACATACCTGAGCATACATTAGACTTCCTACAGCCGAAGCATAAGGAATCTTCTGCATTTCCTGAATTTCAAGGTTACCTTTATGGCACTGATTGAGACTAAATTTGTCTCCTTTAGC